AATAGGGATACATGTGGACCCATTGCAACAATGAAATGTACAAGTCGTTATGTCAAAAAATGAACTATACAACTTTGGTGGGGTTGGGGGGTGCGGTATGGGGGGTGGGGGATGGAGATGGGAAGGGGAATCAAAGGAGGAGGCAACAATGCTGGGAAGAAATGTACTCATTATCTTGTCCATGTAATTGTAACTCCTCTGTACGGTATTTTCATAATAAAAGAAATTATTGGTTGAGGGGCCAGGCACATTTGGGCATATTCCTAGCATGAGAGGTACTTGGTATTTACCCTATTGGGGTCTGGATATGATTTGGGGTCTATTAAGATTTTCTTATTGCTATCAAATTCTGTTGAGAATGTACTAAAGCAGAGGCTATGCAGATAAAATGGTGATTTTCTTCAGAGACACAAAGATTGAAGAGATGGAGTTGTACCTGGGTGGGATTTGGACAAGAAGAAGCTATGGGTGAGTGGAAAGGAAGGAGATTAGAGATAAAGAAGGCACTCTGTGATGGAGGGAGGGGAGATGGACACTGTGTTGTCACGGTGGTTCATGTAGGGAGCACACGGGTATTTGCTCATGCCTCTAGTCTTCCTGGCAAGAAAGATCAGAAGGGCTAGCTCTGATCTATCATTTTCATCCAAGTTCTGCGAGAGGTCCATGGGACTCTGAGCACCTGAGCCTGGGTCCACCCTGCCCAGATCTTCTAGCCTAGGGCCGGGGTGTCCACCACTCTCCATTGGGGCTTATACACTTTTTTTTCTCACATATTTGGGCAATAGCCTGAACTGGTCTTTGCATGATCACCAATGACAACTGAGTGCCCTGCCAAAAGGACCTAATTGCTCCTTTGGGGTCTACTTAGAGCAGTAGTGGCTGTAAACACCTCTCCTGAGAGTCCCCCACAGAAAGAGACAACTTTCACCAAAGAGAAGTCAAACACTCTTGGAAGATCAACTAAAATAGGGGAAGAAAATCTTCGTCTAAACTAATGTCACAGATTTTGCACCGCGTCCCCTCTTATTCCCAGCCTCAGCTGTGTCTGAAAGAGCGAGATCACACATAAAATGTGCTGACACCACAACGGTGGAATCATTCTTTCAAGGTAAATTGTGCTCTGAGGATTTTCTGTTTCACTGTGTGACATAAAAAAAGTGAAGAAGTTCTGTCAATGATTCTGTCTGCTTAACATGGGCATAAAATACCTGCTGATTTCCATTTAGCTAACCTAAATCCAGCAATATTAGATTACTCCTTCTTAGATATTATCACTATTCAATCAGTAGATGAAATAATTGAGTAAACACTGTGCCCCAAATGGGCTGACAGTTTAAGGGTTATACAGTAGATCAAAATCGTAAATGCTGTATCACTTCCTGACTGATCATTCTACTTTGTGGCTCTCTGGGCATATGATGATGTTACATTTAGAAAAGAAACTGAAAATTTAACAGCAAAGAATTTAGACTTCAGTTCAAAAACTTTGGGACAAGACTAATTTTTGTCACTAATACTTTGTATGACTAAGTCACAGATTCACTTCTGACATTCCAATAAAAAAAGGGAATAGTCATTATGAAACTATCTTTCAGATAGAAAGGTGAGGATTAGAACTTTTTGTAGATGATTTTTGTACCAATCCAGGTGATGAATTTAGGACTCTGCTCTGTCCCTTAGCTTTCCTGCTCAAATATTAGTGGTTCACCACTTGAGCCACAGCTCCATTTCTAGCTTTTTTATAGAGATGAGAGTCTCATGGACTTTCCTGTCCAAACTGACTTTGAACCTTGAGCCTCAGATCTCAGTCTCCTGAGTAGCTGGGATTACAGGTGTGAGCCACCAGAACCTAGCAATGATTAGAATTTTTTATTCTAATGATTTTTAGTTTTCTGTTTTTTAATGTTTATAAAAGAAATAACTACTTACATATATAATAGCTGAATCATATCCTATATGTGAAAATCTTGAATGACATCAAAGATAATAAAAAGTCAATTGTCTACTATTAATTGTGTGCCTTAAAATCATAATAATTTTCCAGTTGGGAAACTGTGAACAATAAATTAGAACTAAGGTGAGATTCACTAGAAGTAAATTGTGTTCAATGAAAAATTCAATCTGAATTTAGGAAAAATTCAATGATATCAGCCTTTTAATGTCAGGGATCATGAAGCCACCGATTTCTATTTTCCTAACATGATGGAAGCCGTACACCATGCTCTGTTTTGGTCCTGGAAGTGGACCTCAGTAGGTTTGAGAAGAGCAAAGACAACTCCGGTTACACATCTCGTACCTGGCCTGTGGGGACCACTGTGTTGTGACAGTAGCAAAACTTTGAGCTGGGTCAAGGCTAGCTGCAATCTTGTTCTTTCCACTGGTGTACCTGGTCATTACCCTGGATGCTTGATAAGAACTAAAGCCAATGCCCAACAAACCTCAGGGTAGACAGGTCTTTGTTCCTCTCCATAGACCAAATGACTGGCTGAGGTCGAAGGAAAGATTCATGGTCATTGTCATGAAATCTACTTACTGTCCTGATTCTGGATGGGATCAGGACTCTGTCCACCCGTCCTGGAAATCACAGCAAGTATGTCTTTACCTGAGGGTAATTTGTTCCCTAAATGTGGATGGGTGCTACAATTTTATTCAGAACCTGTGCAGACTGCTCAACCACATTGGAGGTGCTCCCTTATCTGTCTCTGCAGCTGAGTGAAGACAAGAACTGGGTTTGAGTTTCCAGTGAAGGGGTCTCCTGATGCCCAGCACATGGCAATCAATTGCTCTGTGGATATAAGGGACAGATGTGCTTGTCTGCTCCAGGTGCAACGGTACCAACATGACTCTGGCTTGTCATATGTGCTATGGAGTTGACCAACATGTCGGGGGGGGGTGTCATACCAGTGTTGTGCCCTTTAGTCAAACAATATCTACATCATAGCCAGAAACTGGTGGATCATGCCTGTAATTCTACTCAGGAGGCTGAAATCTGAGGATCCCAGTTCGAAGCCAGCCTGGGCAGGGAGACTCATAACTCCAATTATTTATCAAAAAAGCTGGAAGTGAAACTATGACTCAAGAAGTAGAGTGCTAACTTTGAGCACAAATGTTTGAGGACAGAGCCCAAGCCTAGAATTCAAGCATCTGGCTTGGCACACACACACACACACACACACACACACACACAGAATTGTATCTTGCAAATGATAGGAGATGTTTGGACTTTTTGGGTAAGCCTTAATTTAGGATGGGAAATATGTTTCTTGGGTTGGACCAAAGGGGAATTCTTTTTTTTAATTTTTTTTATTGTAAAGATACTATACAGAGGGTTACAGTTACATGAGTGAGGTAATGAGTACACTTCCTCTTGAATATTATTACCCCCTCCATTGTTTTCCCCCTATCATCCTCTCCCTCCCTACCTTCCCAAAGGGGAATTCTTAAATTAAAATTAAACATTAATCATTTTTGTTTTAAAATGAAGAGGGGAAAGGAAAAGTAAATGGGGTAAGCACTACATGGTTAATTTGGGGTGAAGAGAAAACCTGGAGAAGAGGAGAATACAGGAAGAGCAGTTGAGAGAATTTCCTCCTCAATGAGTATGGAGGATGTAGAGGTGCTAGAAAGAGATTTTCATGATACATCTCAGGAAGGTCATTCCAGAGAAAGAACAGAAAGCACTTTGACAAAAAAAAGGAAATGAAAATCAACCACAATCTCTCCCTGGCATGAAACTCTGGCTTCACTCACCTGTTGACTTTGATTCATGTATCGATGTCCATTACCCCTGCAAATCAGGTCATAATTGGACATGTTATTTTAATTTTTATTCTGTTTTTAAAGTGGTCACTGTGACACTTCAAAAACACTATATAGCATTATGTCAATATATCACAGAAAACCCATCTTAAAGAATATAGATTAATTTTAAATATTCAGTCATAAATGGTGCCATGCAGATAATTTGAAGATTTATTTTAATGACAATACTAGGGCTTGAACTCAGGGCATGGGCACTGTCCTTTACCTTTTTCTGTAAAGGCTGTCTGTCTGCCACTGGAGCCACAGCTCTGTTTCTGGCTTTCTGCTAGATAATTGAGAAAAGAGACAAATGGATTTCCTGCCCAATCTGACTTTGAACCAGGAACCTCAGATCTTAGCTTCCCCAATAACTAGGATTACAAGAGTGAGCCACCATCAACTGGCTTTAAGATACAGTATGCACATGCATATACACTGGTGTATATTTGTGTGTGTGTGTGTGTGTGTGTGTGTGTGTGTGTGTGTGTGTGTGTGTGTGTGTGTGTGAGGCAGTACTGGGCCTTCTACACAGGTCCTGGGTTGGTGTCCCTGAAGTTATTGGCTCAATGCTGATGCCCTAAACTTGAGCCACAGCTCCACTTCTGACTTTTTGTGTAGTTAATTGAAGGTAACAGTTTCATAGGCTTTCTTCCTCGGGATGGTTTAAACCACAATTCTAAGATCTCAGTCTTCAGACTTAGCTAACATTACAGGGTGACTTGAAAACATTTTAACTATCTTTCCAAAGACAAATTTCCAGAAAGAAAAGTTGGGGCTCAAATGGAATACATATCCATATCCAAGAAACCATGGAAATGTTATGCAATCTCTAATTTTCCTAAACTTGTGTATTCATGAATAAAGAAGGGAGGAGCATCCATTTAATAATCCGCCTTTTTCTTTTCTATCATATTGAGTGATATTTGCTAAGGTTAATTGTTAATTAATGTTTTAAAAGGTTAATCTTGCATTTGTTGTTTATGAGCTGAATGCTTGTTTTCTTTGGTATGAGATATTTTAATATGTGCGCAAACTAATCTACTGGAGCTATTGAATGTTCACAACATGTTATCATGTATGTACACAGCACAGCAACCTTTCAAAGAAATCTTTCATGTTTTATTCTAGCCCTGAAGTCATATGCAGCTGTGGGTAGAAATTCTTCTGGTAGATCCTGAAAACCCTCTCACACCAGGACCATGAGCAACCAGACAGCAGTAACAGAGTTCATCCTGCAAGGATTCTCAGAGCACCCTGAATACCACATCTTCTTGTTCTGCTGTTTCCTGTCTCTCTACTGTGTGGCCATCACAGGAAATATCCTCATCATCGTGGCCATCAGCTTCAACCCTGGCCTCCATACGCCCATGTACTTCTTCCTGCTCAATTTGGCTACGATGGACATCATCTGCACCTCATCTGTCATACCAAAGGCGCTGGAGGGGCTGATGGTAGAGAAGAGCTCCATCTCTTTTAGGGGCTGCATGGCCCAGCTCTACTTTCTCATATGGACTATATCCGCAGAGTTGCTGCTGCTCACGGTCATGGCCTATGACCGCTATGCAGCCATCTGCCACCCCTTGCATTACAGCACCATGATGAGCAAGGCCTTCTGCAGCGTGCTTGCTGCTGGAGTGTGGGTGATGTGTGCCTTCAACTCAGCCATCCACACAGGGCTGATGGTGCGATTGAACTTCTGTGGGCCCAATGTCATTACTCATTTCTCCTGTGAAATCCCTCCTCTGCTCCGTCTCTCCTGTAGCTCCACTTATGTGAACAGTGTCATGACCACACTGGCTGATGCATTCTATGGCATATTCAATTTCCTCTTGACCATTGTGTCCTATGGCTTCATCATCTCCAGCATCCTGAAGATGAGGACATCAGAGGGAAAGCAGAAAGCCTTCTCCACCTGCTCCTCCCACCTCATCGTGGTGTGCATGTATTACACGACTGTGTTCTATGCCTACATCAGTCCCGTGTCCAGCTACAGTGCAGAGAAGAGCAAGGTGGTTGGAGTGCTGTACACCATGGCGAGCCCCACCCTCAACCCCCTCATCTACACTTTGAGGAACAAGGAGGTCAAAGCTGCCCTCAGGAAACTTGTCCCTTTCTTCAAAAACTAATACACCTGAACTCCAGGAAATGGAAGCAAGAGCTTTTATTCTTTGTTGTTGTTGTTGTTTTCTTTTGTTCTTGTCTTATTTATCTGTCTTGGGAGTATAAGAGGAGGGGCACTGAAATGGTGGGACAAAGGGTCAACAAATGCAGCAGTGGAAATCTCTAGACACTATGGGGGAAATGAACTGTACAACTTGTGAGTGGGGACAGGAGGTAAAAAGTGGGAGAGGTGACATTGTCCAAAAAGAAATGTTCTCTTTATCTGACTAATGTAACTGTAATTCCTCTGTACATCACCTTTATAATAACAATAAAAATAAAAATACTCAGACTCCTGTAGCTCACCCCTATAATCCTACCTATTTAGGAGGCTGAGATCTGAAGATCATGGTTCAAAACCAGCCTGAGTAGGAATGTCTGTGAAACTCTTATGTCCAATAAACTCTTCAGAAAAAGCAGGAAATGGCACTGTGGCTCAAGTGGTAGAGACCTAGCCTTGAGCAAAAAGAGTTCAGAGCCAGTACCCAGGCCCTGAAATCTAGACCCAGGACTGGAAACAAATAAAATGCAACATAAAAATACATCTTCCCAAATGCCCTTCTACTGGGAGGTAGCAGTTTCAGTGAGGCTTGGCCTTCCTTCATGAGCACAGAGTACATTGTTGGGAAATGGCTGACTGGGGATTGTAGTTGGTTCAGATGAAAAGCTTCCAAGATGCTGGTTTTGTTGATCTCCCCTTATGGAGGACAAATGTATTTTAGATTTACAGCTGTGTGAAAGTGACTTTCTCCTCTTTTAGTGTAAGAATATTTAGAGTGAGACCACCGGTTTCTAGGTCCCACTGCTCATTCTCTTGAGTGGCCTCACTTTCTCTTTACTGAATAAGCATTTTACATCTGTGAGAAATATTTAAGATATAAATCTTTAAATCACATCTGAGAGTTGTTGTGTGGTCATCCACAGCATTTGCGGGACTGTCAAACTGAAGAGCTCCTTCATGGTGACCGTGTGTGTTGGGTTCAGTTCTGCACCTTGAATTTGACCTCATTTACTGTCTCTAGAGCACTACGGTGACCGTTCGTGATGCAGATTCTTTCGTCTGCTCTTCCCTTTCTTCTCACAAACAATAAAGGTGAGACTATTCCTCGGCTTGAAAGTAGAAATTCCACCTTTAACAGTGGATTTGTGGTGTATGAACCTAGGAAAGTCTGAGACTTCTCGTGCTTTGAGTTTGCTGTCTGCAGTGAGGATCTGGTCTGCCTCACTGCTCTGGAGAGAGGGACACAGATGTGATTGACCTGTGATCAGAATGTTCTGGGCAGGCAATGCTGTCCTTCCATTATTCCTGAACAAAAGCCAGTGCACAATCACCTGGAATAAATAATAAAGACAAGTCTTGTTTTCCAGGAAACAATCCTGGAAAAGCCACTTCTCCATCAGAATGAGAGAAGCTGAAGCTGAGTGTTTAGTTACATCTTCAGAATTCATCATAAATACATTGTTCACTACTTGACATGGAAGCTGAAAGTAGAGCTTGAATTTTTTATTAGAATAAGTGAGTGGACTTGTCTCTTCTGTGGGACAAGTACAGGTGCATTGTGGCAGATGTGGCCCTGGCCTGTAGATGATCATGGACCAGGTCTGTTCTCTCTGATAGAATGTGGACCCATAAATAATAGTTTGAGTGGCCTTCAGTGGTCTAGAAGACTTTCTATTACACTACCACCAATGCCTCTGCGTGAGTAATGATAGATTTTTATGGCATCACAAAGAGTGTTTGTTCTGTTTTTGTCTTACTTGCCAATTTTATATTTGGGGCATTTTACAGTGTATTTAAAGAAATAAATACTATTATAGCATTGAGAGTTGAAGAGTACATCGTCACATATTCAGAATCTAATCCTTCAAAAATGAATGACAGAAAAAGAAAACAAAGAACTCTTCAGGAGTAAGGACCAGCAGTGGAAAGTCAAAGCAGAGGAATAAATAGAGTTAAAACTTCTGTGTCTATGAAAACATAATAATGACACCTGTTGAATATTTTTTTCACAAAAGAAAACATTGAGAAAGGGTAATAGAAGAATATTCTTTGCATGAATAATAATATCATAGGGAAACACCTTTTGGCTATTGACATGTATAATTAAACTATAAAAATGTATATTCACAAGTAAAGCATGAATGAAACTCAAGATTTGATTGATATCCTGATTGAACTGACAATCACAATAAACAGATGAAGTCAACATGGCGCACATTATCAGAAGCAATCAAATGAACTGATCCCTAAGTTCCTTCTAAGAATAATCACAGACCCTAAAGATCATAAGAATTTCAAATTCTTGTATTGAGAAGTGCTGGGGTGCTCCTGTTCTTTGGGGTACAGAAAGTCATTTTTGGCCAGCCTGGCCCCCAGTCATGTAATGAATCTAATAACTCCCGTTTTATAGCTGCGTATATTCTCTTCATTCTGTTCTTCAGGACAGCTCTGACTTGTACATTTGATTACTTCTTTTCTTGCAGTTTTATGGAGGGATAATTAGCATACTGTGCCATCCAAACATTTAAAGGATGCTGCTCTGTGGTTTACAGCAATATTTACAATGTTTAAAGAAAATCATCCTATGAACATTCACTTTTTCATTCTCACAGTCATCCCTCTAGCCAGGGCAAAAATAAACATACTTTTCATATAACTAGTATAATATGTGACCTTCCAGCTGGAATCTGTCAGCCTAATGTTCTCAAGAATGATCTATGATACAACTTTAATCCTATTATTTAGTACATAATATTCCACTTTATACTTATTCTACCTTGTGTTTATCCACTTGACCCACAGCAGCACTTTTGACCTTTTGCTGGTTAATTAGAGATAAGGGTCCCACAGACTTCCCTGCTTGGGCTCCCTCCAAACCAGGATCCTCAGATCTCAGCATCCTGAGCAGCTAGGATTACAGGACTATCAGCACTTGCCCAGCACCATGCCAGTTTTCTTCCTAAGACTCTCATATAATAAGAAGTCAGGTATTGGGGTAGCTCCATTGTATTTAGTTTGGGATTGCTTTGTCACTCCAGGGTCTTTTTTGCTTCCAATCAGAATTTTAGGATAGGTTTTCCTAGTTCTGTGAAGAAGAATGCTGATGAGGTTTCCACTGGATCTGTACATAGCTTTCAGTAATATGCATATTTTCATATGAATTCTGCTTCTCTGCTATGGAGAATTGTCTTTCCACAATCAGTGTCTTTCTCAATTTCATCTGTATGTTGTAATTTTCACTACAGCGATCTTTTATATTCCTGGTTGAGTTTACCCCTAGTTTTATTAGTGAGTGGGATCAATTTCTTGGTCTCATTCTCAGCATGTTTGTGGTTGGTATTTACTAAAAAGTACTGATTTGCGATTACATTGTTTCCAAAACTACTCATCACATCTATAACTTTTCTGATAGAGGCTTTAGGTGCTCTTCACTGTAGGACCCTATCATGTTCAACTAGTGATGATATGACTCTTCCCATTCTCATGCAGATACTTTTCTCTCTCACACACTTCTTCTAAGACCTAAAGCACTACATTGAGTAAACATGAAGAAAGGTGTATCTGTCTTGTTTAGGGGAAATGCCTTTAAGCTTTTCACTTGAGCCCCACAATGGTCTAAGTTTCATGGAAACACTTTAGTACACCAAGGGTGAGTTTTCCATTACCGCTGGGGCTTACACCCCACGTCCCCTGTTTGGACTTCAGCCTGAACTGGCCTTGGGGCCAGCACCGAGGACAGCCAAGTCCCTTGTAGAGGAATGTAATTTAATTACTCCTTCAGGGTCCACTTAGAGCAGCATCTGTGAAATCCTCCCAAGGGCCTCCCACAGAGAAGGACAACTCTGGCTAACGATGAGTCAAGAATCCTTTCATGATTGGCTTAAATATGGGACAAAAACCATTCATTTGTTCAGATGGATGATGATGAAAATTCTACACATTGTCTTAGAGTTTCCAACCTCCGCTGTGATTGACAGAGAACAAGAGCATACATACATATGGTAGCTCCATAGAGCTGAAAGTTGTTTTCAAGGTAATTATGAATGTTTTAAGGATTATTCATTCCTTAGGATAATATGTGAAATGAGAAAAATCTGCTCATAGCTAACTACTAAATTTGTCCAGAACAAAGTTTTGTTATCCTGGAGCCAGTAACATGAGAAGTCTTTTTCCTAGGTATTATTACTGTTTGTAAAATAAATAAAGTCTTAAAGCAAATGGTATGCCCAAATATGCTGAATATTTACTGTTTTGTTACATATTCCAACCATAAAAAAGATCATAACAAATCTTGGTTGATATTTATACTTCTTCACTGTTTTTGGACACAGTATAATTCAGAAAGGCAATGGAGAAATTACACAGCAGAGAACTCTGAACTGGAATTCCAAAGCCTGGGAATTGTCTGTAGGTTTCTCACATACATTCTATATGTCTAAGTAAGTCACAAATTCTCTTGTGAAACTCCAATGAAAAGATCTAACAAAGTAATTATGAAAGCATCTTTCAGCTTCAAAGAGAAACATTAGAAATTTTGACATGCCCTGAATTTTTAGCTTGGTATTCTTAACATATGTTTACAGTAGGAATGAGTAACAAATAAAAAAAGAAAGTGGATTAAGAATGTAGTGTCTGTGGCAATCCTGAACATTTTTAATAAAAAACAAGTATTCACATTCCTCACTATTACTTAAATACCTTTAAACAGTAATAATATTCAATATATAAAATTGGAACAATAAATTGTACTAAGGTGATATCACTAAAAGTGAATTTAATTCCATGTAAAGCTCAATCTGCCTTTAGGTAAATTTCACTATGAACCAGAAACATCTAATGTCAGGGATTTTGATGGCAATATTGCTGTTTCTAAAATGATAGAAGGCATTCATCACGCATTGTTTTGGTCCTGGAAGTGGATCTCAGTAGGTTTGAGAAGAGTGAAGACAACTCCAGTTACACAGC